TCGAGAAAAAGCGATCTGCACACCTCGCTCACAAGACAAAGCCAAGTCCAAGATCTTTGGAGGCCTTCAAAAGTGCTAATAAAGAGGCGAAACAAATGGCTAGAAAATGTGCTAACAACTTTTGGAGGGATACCTGCAACAGAATCCAAGACAGTCTCCACTCAGGAAATAGCAAAGCTCTATTTGATGGCATTAAAGCGGCCCTGGGCCCAACAGTGTCTAAGCCTGCCCCCCTTCTATCCAAATCAGGAGAAAAAATTACAGATCAAACCAAGCAGCTAGAACGTTGGACAGAACACTACCTCGAAGTCTATGCCACACAGAACACAGTAGACGATGTCGCCCTGGCTTCTCTACCAGATCTTCCAGTACTGGAATGCCTAGATGATCTTCCGAGCCTCAGTGACCTTAAAAAAGCAATTAACTGCATAAAAAATAGAAAATCTCCTGGGGGTGATGGTATCCCAGTGGAAGTAGTGAAAGTCAACGAATCACTCCTGCTCCCTGAACTCTATATTCTCCTCTGCCGCTGTTGGGAAACAGGTCATGTCCCACAGGACATGCGTGACGCAACTATAGTCACAATATACAAGAACAAAGGGGATCGGAGTGACTGCAACAATTACAGGGGTATCTCTCTCCTCAGTATAGTGGGCAAGATCTTTGCTAGAGTGGCACTATCCAGGCTGCAAGTGATAGCTTCTAGAGTCTACCCAGAGTCTCAGTGTGGATTCAGGAGTGGTAGATCCACTGTAGACATGATATCTTCTCTACGACTACTGCAGGAGAAATTCAGAGAGAGAGACAGACCCCTTTACATCGTTTTTGTTGATCTGACTAAAGCTTTTGACATGGTCAGCAGAAGTGGCCTTTTCAAACTCCTGGGGAAAATAGGTTGCCCTCCCAAACTACTGCAGTTCATTGAGTGTTTTCACGAGGAAACTAAATGCACTGTCAAATTCAATGGAGCCTAATCAGCACCTTTTGAGGTTTGCAGTGGTGTCAAGCAGGGATGTGTGCTCGCACCTACTCTGTTTGGCATATTCTTCTCCTGTCTACTGCATTATGCGTACAACGACATAAACGAAGGTGTGTTTCTCCATACAAGATATTCTGGAAAACTATTTAATGTATCAAGGAAATTGTTGATCACTTTTGTTACCTTGGCTCCATCATATCCAACAACACTCTACTGGATAAAGACATAAACAACAGGATAGCCAAGGCAATAGCCACCATGTCACGGCTGCAGAAAAGAGTCTGGGACAACATATTGCTGACTAACAGTACTAAAGCCCTAGTCTACCGGACCTGTGTGTTGAGCACCTTGCTGTACGGAAGTGAAACATGGTCAACCTACTCATGGCAGGAAAAAAAGCTGAATGTTTTCCACCTCCGATGCCTAAGGCGGATCTTTAAAATAAGGTGGCAAGATAAGATAACCAATGAGGAAGTGCTACAAAGAGCAGGGTGCCAGGACATCCGCTCTGTTATCAGCAGCAGACGCCTTGGCTGGCTTGGCCACGTTCGTAGAATGCCAGAAGGTCGACTTCCACAGGACATCCTGTATGGCGATCTAATAGAAGGCAGGAGAGCCGCTGGTCGCCCACTATTACGTTATACGGATGTATGCAAACGCGACATGAAGCTCTTCAAAATCGACACTGGCAACTGGGAAGAGGTAGCACTGGACAGATCCTCATGGAGAGAGAGCATAAAGGAAGGGTTAAAGATTGCAGATGTCATACACAACAGAAGCAGAAAGAAAGGTGAAAATGCAACGGCGCCTGGTGATTATATATGCCCAACCTGCGATCGCAGCTGTGTATCAAGGATTGGCCTATTTAGTCACACAAGAAGTTGCAAAGGGAAAAGATCGTCTCTCGAGACGTAAAATGTCACAGATGGCCAAAGGGGTTTTGGGTTTAAACCCTCCGCAAGCGGGGTTTGAAGCTAAAAAAATACATCTTCAATGTAAGAAAAAAGCAAACTTCGCACTCAAAATGCTATGAGCGTTGCCAAAAGGAGTTTTGAGTTTAAACCTTCCTTCAGAGTGATTTGATGCTAAAAAATACCTCTTCAATATAAAAAAAGGAAATTACACACTAAAATCATTTGAGCGTAGCCAAGACAATTGAGGGTTTTGAGTTTAAATCCCTCTCCTACAGATGGCTTTTTTTAAAGTTTAAAACCCCTCCAGATGGTTTTGAGTTTAAAATCCCCCTACAGAGCGTTTTGAGGTGGAAAATCTCTATCTTCAATATTATTCTTAATCAAACTACAGTTACTAAATTCTATGACCTTAGCTAAATGGGGTTTTGAATTAAAAAAAAAACACCACAACTCCAGAGATTTTTTACTATAAAACCACCAACAGATGATTTTGACGATAAAAACATCACTTTTCGATATAAAATCTAAAGCAACACCCACAACCGAAAAAAAATCCTGGCTACGCCCATGATATATATATTGTTAAAGCTTGATTGCAAATATATACACATAAATGGTAAAGAAACTCAAGAAAAAACTCAGAAGATTAACCTGATTAAGATTAAGCATAACAAAAATTTTCACACTATGTAATAATAATACATACACATATTAAACATAAATAAATAACAGCACTAGGGACCAAGTTTTTAAGAGAGAAAGTAGTGAATTAAAATGCTACGAAAAAATGGGCATGCGCCGACCGAGGCTCGAACCTACGACTCTGGATTCGTCACCACCGCCTAGCGATAACGCACCAAGCAAAACTAACCTCTATACCATCGGAATGTCCGAAAAAACATTCTTCTGATCCAGAGTCATTTCGCCTGTATGCAAATTCCCACCCCAGCTAGCCCCTCCCCCACCCTCGCAGCATCCGTTCACTAACAACTTCGATAGAGCCGACACAGACAGCCGTTAGGCATGTATTAGAATTACGTCCTACGCCTCATGCATTTAGTCATGCATGTCAACCAATGACTTAAATTATGCCAAGTCACTGGTTTTCTAGGCTGGCTCAGGCAACCCATTCCATGCTCTAATAGCACTAGGGAAGAAGAAGCATTTGTACAAATTTGTCCTAGCATATGGAACGAGGAATGTGCCTTTATCTTTGTGTCTTTCTGAGTATTTTATTTGGTTTTGTTTTTGTATTTGAAGATTATGGTTCAGTGTTTTATGTATAATTGCTACTTTACTTTTGAGTCTTCTCTATTGAATGCTTTCTAAATTTAGTGATTTTACTATAGGTGTTACTTTAGTCAAATGTGAGTATTCGTTTGTTAATATTTGTTATGAATCTCACTGATCTATTTTGTGTCTGTTCCAGTTTAATATTCTCTTGAGTGAGAAGCCCAAGCAGAGAATGCATATTCTATAAGTGATAAGATAAGTGGAATTAATTTGTTTTAGTTTTTTTGTTACTCTTAACAACTGACATTTTTCTGGGTGGAAAGACATGCTCCAATTTGATTCCCATTTCTGTAATTCATCTACTTCTCTTTGTAAAATATCTGTGTCTTGTGTTGTTTTTATTGTTCTATATATTATGCAATCGTCTGCAAATAATCTGACTTTTGTTCCTGAATTAATGCAATTTGGTAAATCATTTATGTGCATTAAAAATAGTATTTGACCTATAGCTGTTCCTTGAGGTACACCTAAGTTTACTGTTATTGGTGTTGATTTAGAGCCATTTATTTTTGCAGTTTGTTCTCTCCCTATCAGAAAATCCTTAATACACTGATGCAACGGACCACCAATGCCAAAATATTTTAATTTTTTAAGCAAATATGTTGGCGAACATTGTTAAAAGCCTTGTAAAAATCTAATAATATATCATCTATGTTTGTTCTGATAATACTTAAATTTATTTACAGAAAAATAGATTGATCAGATTAAATATTCATATCGAAATAAGCTAAAATATATCAAACAAAATAATTAATCACCAACAATTAATTAACTAATTGTTTAATTTTTTAAATTGACTCATGTCTTGTCAGGTTAAATGAATAATTGTGCAAAGTTTTAACTTGATCCGAGAATGGGAAATGGGGGAAGAAACATGTTCAACTTTTTACCAGACAGAGTGAGTTGATATAAGATTAGTAAAAACAAATAATATTGTACATGGTATTTAAATATTTTTAAATCCAATACAAACAATGCCCACAAGTTCATTTTAAAGATAAGTTTAGTTGAACGCTTTGTTCTGTTTTAGACGTGCTGGTACAAGTGATCAGTATAGACGTATTTAGTTTATCTAGCGGATGCAAGACTCACAATGAGCATAATGTATGTAATGCACCCATCTTAGTATCTATGTATGTGTGTGTGCAGAAGCGTTTTAGTACACGTTTGTGTGAGTGTGTATGTCGGTACCTTAGTGACCTAGTAGGAGCAACATATTTAACATCAATTTCAATTTCGCACAATTTTCCCAGTGATGCTATTTTACCTGTTTTTTCCTCCTAAAAAATAAGTTGTTTATAACTTAGTTCACATGTTTTGATTGAAAATCTGCTCCACCCAAGCAGTATGGACAAACTCTTTAATGCGTTGACATAGTTTTTGGGAGGAACATCCGGTTCCTCTGGACACGATAAGATACGAGGGCAGGTGCAGTGTGACGTTTTATGATCCACATCGAAAACAAGGCGCATATCCAGCACGCATGCTAACAAACTCCCATAGTGCTACTCATCATCTATTAAAATAAAAAAAAACAACGCTCAGGTCAAGCCTCCATTTACGTCTAGGAATGCATCGCCGAGGCGACATGTAACAATGGAGGATAAAAATATACCTGTCAAACGGATGCTTTATGATCCTCCTTTGAAGACCATCAGTAGCCACAAGTGATCCACATCGAAACAACGCATCACGAGACGCAAGATCAGTTAGACATCCGGAAAAGTGTGTTTAACACTTATACCAGGCTTCAAACACACACAAGACCCAATGAAAGAAGGAGACAAGAGAATGAAGCTCGTACACATGCACAGAACATCTCGTGTGGGTCAGAGAACTGTAGGTAGTGGATTCCAAAATAAACTTTTACACAAATTCAGCAAAAAAAAAAAATATATATATAGCTCGTGCATTAAGTCTATTTTTTTATTTTGCAATTCAAATTAAAAACAAAACAACATATTAGTTTAAGGGGACTTAGGATAATCACAGATTTATTTTGGATTTTCTCTTCATAATTCTTAGTTGTTGTTTGCTCCATTCAGTAGAACAAGAAATTGTTTGTTTGTTTTCAACGTGATAAATGAACAGCTAGTGAGAGTCTGTCTTCTGGGGAATCGGAAGGAATTTACTGCAACAAGGAACTTAAAAAAAAAAAAAAGGTACGTAAACATCAGGTAGGTCTAAGTTTAGTCATAAGATTTTTTTTTCTCAAAATGGTGACGTTTAATGAATGAAGTTGTTATTACTGAAGGATTATTAGCAAACTTAGATCTATTCTTTTTTTAATTCAAATACTACTGGTAGTTTTATTATTTAATGAATCAACTCGAAACAAAAAACAAATATATTGATAAAACCATTTGTAAAATCACTCAATTTAGAGACCCTGAATATTAAATAGTACAGTAGCAATTTAACATAAAACACTGAACCATAATCTTCAAATACGAAACAAAACCTAATAAAATAATCAGAAAGACACAAAGATAAAGGCACATTCCTTGTGCCATATGCTAAAACAAATTTGTACAAATACTCCTTCTTTCCTAGTGCTATTAGAGCATGGAATGGGTTGCATGAGTCAGTCAGGAAAACCAACGACTTGGCAGAATTTAAGTCATAGATTAACATTCATGACTAGATTGACACAGTAGCACCCTTCACCCTTTGAAGAAACGTCAGTAAAAAATAAGATAAAATAAGATATAGATTAGAAAAGAAAATATTTTAGAGCATTACAAACCTTTGATGATTGATTGCTACACTAATATCTTATACCATTGTCCATACCAAGACACCTAAACCTTTCATTCTTGTACGATTGTTTAAGGAAGGAAACTCTTATCTGAATAATACTTTCACTTCCTGTTTCTAATATCAAGTATACACGATAAAGTCTTCATATGTAAATTTTCTCATTTTTAAAACAAGAATGACATCTATTTTTAGTAGAGCCATTAATGTTCACACACAAAAAAAGCAATGTGTTTTTCGTGTATGGTTCATCAGGCATACTAGAAAGGTCACGTGACTAATAAATAATGTCCTTTTCTTTTCTTGCCAAAAAAAAAAAAAGTTCACAATATATGAAATTGTAACTTTGAGGAAGACTTTAGAACGAGTTTATTGGATATTTGAACCATTGAATTACATAAACTCATGGAAGGTAAAGACCAATGTATTTTCGACATGCAGATTTGTTCTATCCCTAAAGGAATAGAAGCCATCTCACGTCTACTGGGGTGCTACTGCTGACTGTATGACAACATTGCTCCATATGCAGTCCTCCAACAAACTGAACAAGTACAGATATTCCAGTCCCCCCCTCCCTTTCCCAACTGGTCCAGACAACTTAAAAATTATAGGACCCTAACGTATTGAGAAGGCTGAAAGCGTGAAATTGGGCTAAATAAAAACAATTGGTCAAAACATTTCTTATCGCACAGATTTATTATCGTTTGTCTAGATCTATTAAAAATAGAATGACATGGCTGATACAAACTAGTTGATACAATTAAACTTCATGTAATGTAATGTTGTTGTTGTTGTTTATTTTTCTTGTTTACCATGTTTTATTGTTTATCGAATGTTTGGCAATATGCAGCTGCTATGTCTTTGAAATAAAAAAAAAACATCTAGTTCAAAACCTTTACAAATGAGAGAATCAAGTTACTGGTTTTCTTTAAACTGTATTAAGTTATCATGTTTGTTGTCCGATTGAGGCAACCTTCTCCGTGTTCTGATCTAAATGATCTACTTACTATACAGAATACTACTTGAGTTTATCTTGTGACATTTATGAATCCTTTTTAACTTTTTCTTAATTTTTATTTTGCGACAAAATTTTTTTTCAATTTTTTCCCTTTCATTGCTCCAATTAGAGTGTCCATGTTTTGTTGGGTTCAAATTAAGCAGTTTTTTCCAAAAATTGAAACTTAACTTCTAGGGTTGCTGAATATAGGTCATTTATATGTCATTTGTAGATCATTTATAGGCCATTTATAGGTCATCTTTCCTACTTAGAAACTGCAGTGTACCTTAGTCTGTTGTAAAGTGTGTTATTTAAGATTATGTAGTAGAAGTGTTTGGATCAATGGGTCAAAAGCTATTGTATATTCTTCACCATAATAGATTTGGTTGCTAGTATTAATCTGTAGTAATATATGTGTAAATAAATATATATATATATATATATATATATATTGTTATAAACCTGGTGGTGGCACAGATGGGGGTAGTGGTGTGAGTGTAGTCAGTAGACGCAAATCGCCCCAGGCCAGCGCTAGACGAGCGGTCAACCGTGACGAGTTATGACGGTCAGCCGAGACGAGTGTCAACACGACGGTTCGGGAAGGATCGACGTCGTGAACAGAGCTCAGGGGCGTCACGAGAGTTGTAGTCATCTGACCACTTAGAAACGTCGAGCGGCGTTCTGTCCGGTTCGAGAAGGCCAGTAGGGACTCTATATAAGAGCGGAGGTGTCGCAGTCAAGACGGTGGAGAAAAGGGGCTCAATACAGCACGGTTCACGAGAGAAGGTTTCGCGACAGAAGGTTCACGACAGGGGTTCAGAACACGGTCGACTACAGCACAGTTCAACGGTGTGGTTCTGTACGGAGCATTACGACGGTTCAGTGCGGAGTACTGTCAAGTACAGTTGAGACGACTGGCGTCTTGATCTTGGTTTGCGATCGAGTCCGACACAACGAGCCTAGTGTGTGAAGTCAGTCCTGAACTGTTGAACTCAGTGCAAGCCCGGAACGAGACGGAGAGGCCAGTGCAAGAGTTGATACGGCAGTAGGGTGTTATCGGAGAGATATTTGTACAGTGTACGTGTTGCCAATTGTACAGTATTGGCTGTTATTTATTCAACTATTAAAGTGTTACGTTACTTTGGAGCCCTGAGTTGTCAAGTTCTTTAAGTTGGTGGTGTATGGTGCAGTTTGCAGAGAGCCTGGATAGTAAGATTCGTAACAATATATATATATATATATATATATATATTTATATATTTATATATATATATATGTGTGTGTGTGTATACATATATATATATATAGCGAGAGAGAGGTAAGAGAGAGAGAGAGAAATTCTTTATCCCATGTTTCTACGTCGGTTCAAAAAGTCTACATTTATTTTGTGACCGGGAAATCTCTGTTCCATGTCCGTGCCAGTCCTGCCATGATTTATTGCAGACAAAGATTTAAATGCACACGAAGTGTTTCTATCTGGCTTATCACGTTTCTCCTATATTCTGTTTCTTACAGAGACATTCTTTGCTTTTGTAAGACATTATTATTATACTTTAAAATATATAAGGAAAAGTCTATCCCGTAAATAAAAACATCAATAACTGTAATAACCTGGCCACTGTGCAGCTGAACATTCCGGTTCCGAACCTTTATAAATGACACAGAATTAGGTAAAGATTTCTCGAAGAATGTATTTGGCCAGACTCACTCGTCAGTTATGGTGTGAGAACCACCAAACAAGAAGCTTCAACGACTGCTGTGCTTATGATATATGTCAGCAGAATCAAATCTGACTTTCTTGACATGTAAAATACTGGGTTTTATGGTCGCAAAGCTTAAATGCTTGCTATCAAAACAGCATTTTATCTTGCTTAGCTTCATAGATTCAATTGTTCGAAATGTATTCCAAAGACGCAATCGGGTTTCTCAATTCCTGCTTCAACTATTGAAGTCAAACAAAACCGAAAATATCTTTCTCCAAAGTTCTTTAGTTCGTTCATGGGTTATTCCACAGTGATAATATTACATTCAATTACATGGATTAGAAAGCGATTGCATAGTACTAATTATCAACGGAAGTGCTTTTCAATTACGTCACAACGTGTGTATATCTTCAACACAGTTCTTCTAATCTCTATCATTCTGTGATGACGACACGTTGCATGACAGCACGTCGTTTGATGAACGATAATTAAAACAATCAAAATATTTATGCTGCGACAATAAAAATGTAAATAATCATTCTGATTCAATTATTTGCAACATCTAGTTTTGAATGATAATTATAATAACAAAAAAAAAAGGAATTACTGAATGAAAAAACGTGTGTACTTTTACACGTTAGAATAGACTCAAAGATCCATAATTTCGATTTCTTGGTCGACACCTGACTATTTGTCATTCGACCCCAAAGTAGGTCGCGACTCACAAGTTCAGATTCACAGTGCTACTGCAACGGATGACGATGTATGCAAAACCTGAAATTAAAAATAAAATAGAGCAAATATTACAAAAGGTTTAGTCTGAGAAAGTTTAAGTTTGGACTATCTGCAAATAAAATACTTACGTCCTAATATTCAAAACAAAATGTAATTTATTCGATTGTGATTTAAAACCAACTTCTTCTAGAAATAATTTAATGTTGACTTTACTTACTAGGCTTATGTTGGCTCATAGTGGAGCATTGGGCTGCAACAATACTTCGCCATCGGACTCTGGGCGGTTCAGCTGGGTCCATGTCAATCCTGCCTTCTTCGCTCCTTGTTCCATGTTCGCTTTATTGTCATAGCCTTTCTCTTTAGCCTGTGGGGGTTCAAGTCCAGAGAATGTTTGACAATATTTTATGTCTGTTTTCGTATTATAGTTCATTGTTTACTTGTAAAAAAAACAACTGTTTATTGGTTAGACACTGCGTTACTGTACCATTTATTATTTTATTTCCAGTAAACATCAGAATGTTACCTGACCTAAGAATGGAGCTTACTGTATTATGTCTAGTACTGGGCTGCTTTAGTTACACAGGTAAAGAAGTTTCGCCAGTCATAACTTTGTCATGTTTGCGTTTTAACTTTTTTTTTAAAGCTTAACACATACGTGAAACTACTCTCTAGATAGGTAGGAAAATATTTTTTTTTAATGATTAAAGTACAGAGTATTTTTCTCACTCTAAAAGTGGTTTAAATTAATGAAAAGCATTTAATGCTGTGATTTAAGTCTCAAGGAAATTTGGACAGAGTGACACTACTTCAACAGAACATCTAATCATCTTATCTATTTAATCATCTTATCTATCTAATCATCTTATCTATTTAATCA